GATGTAGAATAACTAACCAAACAAGAATGGTGTAACAATGATTTGAGTCCATATCCAATTGGATGAACCTAGAGCGCATGATCCATTACAGAAAGGCGACTTCAGTGAGTCTTGAATTGTCAGCAGCATCATACTTCCATTGAGCTTTTTTTTCTTTTTCGAAACGACCCTCTCTTTTCAATTCGAACAAAGGTCAACATACGATTACGGCAGGCATGCATGCACTGATCTTCACTGTATACATGTGCATGTATACTGTACTGTAGTCTGTTCAGTCAACTAGTCATGTTCCACTTGGCTTCCATAGGTGCAACTTGGCTTACGGTAAGTGTCACTACAAGTGCATAGTAGCCCCCCTCCAGGAGTGCGCGTGAACAGGAACTGTGAACTGGTAAAAGAATCATTCGACACCTTCGTTCGTTTCGATGGAGAAGGTTCATTTGGCAAATTGAGGCCTTCGGTTCACCCCTAGCCACAGGAGTGAAATTTTCACTCCTTGGCTGCCTGTTTGAGCCGTCCTTGTGGAAGGGTTGATTTATGCATGTCTGCATATAGACCTTATTCGATAAACGTCACAATCGCGTGAACCGGGGTCCCGGGAACCAGGGAGCGGCAAGAGACCTGCACTCAGTGCACAGAGGACTTGGCGTGGGAACATAGGAGTAGAAAAATACCGGTATTTTACTATTCCCTTGTACGAACTGGGCCTTTCTTGCCATTTGTTTCAAATACGCGTGCCCCAGTTTACGACAAATCCCTGGAGGCGAGTCCAAAACTCATGTTATCGAATAAGGTCTATAGAATTGTTGATCTAGACGTTTGGGTTTAACAGAGCAAGCCTGTGATTAAGAGCTGCACAGAACACAGATCACGTAGAACTACCCAATATGGGGTCAAAACTCACAACGTTTTGGGTACTTTGGTCTCATGTCGTCTCCCCAGGTGCTCTGAATCCCTGATGCACATGTATCTACATATACAATGTAACCGTAACTCTACCAATGTTGCGGACGATGACCCCCCCCCCCCGGCATACAGAAAGTTGCTATGTCCTGGCCCTCATACAGCATTGGGGAGGCACTGAATCACTTTTGCAAAAAGGACTACTAGTAGCCGAAAGTGGCATTACATATTTTCTATTCCCAGAAAAGCGGCGTTCCAGCCGAGTTTATCTTTTAATTTAATGGTTTTCTCGGTTGGGATTTCATACCTGACAACCATCCCGATTTGGCCGGGATCGTCCCGACATCGAGGGCGGTAATAGGCACCCAAAAGTGCATTAGTTCCATGCCTCACCGCGAGCTACATTTGTATACATTTTCATGCCTAGGTATGTCATTCGATCTCAGGTTTGCAAAGGTTGGCCGATATGAGATTTGTAGAGCGACCAGTTCTGACTATTGCCACCTGCTGCGCAGAAGTGTCATTCCTACATCCTGGCTGCAAACCTACCTCCTCCCCCCCCCCCCCCCCCCCACACACACACCACCAACAATGTTGGATCCTATTTACAGGACCTCACTCTATATGAAAGTGTAGCAGAGGCACTGCCAAAGTATAAAAACAACATTTGAAATGCAAGCTCCATTGTGCATGCATGGAGGGCATGGGGAAGAGACTGAGAGGGTGAAAGTGAAGGAAATTTGTTCCGAAATCAAGAGAATCCGAGGAACCCTTGCTGCATTCTTCAGTACGATAACGTCAGTGGGTGCATCTCAGATGTGTTGTGTGCCCAGACACACAAGTAGCACTAACCTGAGCATGAGAGCTGCTTGTCATCATCGTGGTCAGGAAAACGAAAGGACGAACGTAGAAGATTGCTGACCATGACGAACAACAGTGCATATCCAGACGACAGACGGCTTGCCAGAATCAGTCTGGTGCATCTTCAGGAATCTTCTTTCCTAATCGCATTCAGCAGTCAGCTTCGAGGTCAAGAACGCGATGATTTTTCAGAAGGAATAATTTTCAAAATATTTTAAATTTTGGAGAAGAAGCTTCCTTTCTAAAAAAAAAGCGTTCCTTGCTTTCACGCAAGGTGCCTTGCCGGACATGTCGTCGACAGCACAGTGTCGGCAGATCCACGTTTGTAGGCTGCAGACCCGGCAGACGTTTTGATCAGCCCGGCCTGGTGGTGAGATTTCGGACCCGGGAGTACTAAAAACTGCTCGCATCCCAGGGTGCTCAGTTTCGCTCTATCCGATCGAGTAAGGCTTCCAGAAAGGCCCTCAGGTGCGCGGCCTGCGGTGCCATAATATACCTCCCACGTCTACGTGCTGTGCGGCGTGAGTCTGCGGACGCAGGCGGCTCCTTTTGGACTTGACTTGTAGTTGTACTGCAGTGCAGTGCAGTGAGTGGTACGACTGCTGCCTTGTGCTGGTAGTAGAGTCTACTCGATACGCGTATCTCTTAGCCTGTCAAACCCTATATATAGGGTTTTCAGCCGCGCGTTCTATCTTGAGCTCTCTTGAGAGCCCACTTGGCTGCTATGGCAACTAGACGCCTGGGCCTACATACGTAGAATGTACGTACGGTTCTCTTGCTGAAGACTGTGATCATTTTGTTGCTGTTTTCTTCGAGTACGGTTAGTTTTAGTGCAGCGCTGTCGTAACATTTTCTAGACCCTATATCTAGGGTTTGATTTTTCACGATGGAGGAAGAGCAACTTGAGTTAGTGGAGACGAACTCGGGCGATGAGAATGTTCCTGGCGACCTGGTGTCGACTCAGGATGATGATGTCGATGTTCCAGCAGCGTCGGATGCTCCTGAAGAAGAAGGCGAAGCATCAACAGCGGCTGTCGCAGCTGCCGCTCCCGCCATTGCCGTTCTGCATCAGCTGATCCACACGTGGGTCGGAAGCAGCAAATGCGGCGACACTCGCGCACGTCGTAGGAGCGCTCCTGCTAACATCAATGGCAATGCAGTGAAAATATTTAAAAAAACCAAGTGAAACTGTGTGCCCAGTTGTGAGGACTGATCAAACCCTTTCTTTAGGGGTCCTAACCCTATATATAGGGTCTTTATGTGTAGCGTTATGTCAAACCCTATATATAGGGTTTCCTGGTGACAGGCTAAGAGATACAGTGTATTTACATGTACTAAAAATACTAAAAATATATATAAAAAAAAAAATCCGCCCGCCCGCCCGTAAAAAAAATGTCCATGTTAGTCGAACCACACACCTTCTTTAGGGTGCGTTCTTAAATCCTCTCGGAAAAGTTGGAGACTCTCCGAAAAGTTCGAGAGCTGTTCTTATATCCTCTCCGAATTTTAGGAGGCTCTCCAAAGCTCTCCAAGCTCTCCAAGCTTCAGACTCAGAGGTGGTTGAAACTTGGAGATTCCCGCGGTTTGGGATCAGCGCATATGCGAACTAGGCTAAAAGCCACGTGTTGATCATGAGTGTACGCATTTCCCTTTTCGCATACGCACAGCGCATACTATTTTCGTGGCACTCAAGATCGCGGCCCCTTTGGCGCTTCATTTTGCTTGACATCTTCAAAATATCTCCGAATTCTTCGAGACCCGTTCTTGAAGAATCCCAGTTTCTTCGACTTCCCTTTTCTTCTTCTCCTAGAAGCTAGAGAATTTAAGAACGCACCCTAAGTTTGGCCTTATTATTATTTTCACTTCAACAAGAAAAAATAGTTTTCGATTTCCTCTGTCCAAATGGGGAAATCCCGTACCGGTGCATGCACGCGCACCTGGTTCAATTTTTTGAATTAGGCCAAACTAAAGAAGGTGTGTGGTTCGACTAACATGGACATTTTTTTTACGGGCGGGCGGGCGGATTTTTTTTTTTTAATATATTTTTTAGTACATGTAAATACACTGTATACCGTACGCGTATCGAGTAGACTCTACTAGTACTACCAGCACAAGGCAGCAGTCGTACCACTCACTGCACTGCACTGCAGTACAACTACAAGTCAAGTCCAAAAGGAGCCGCCTAGCGTCCGCAGACTCACGCCGCACAGCACGTAGACGTGGACGTGTTCAGTCCACGTAGACCTACGTCAGTCACACGACAGCCCGCCGAAAAAAAGTTACGGTCGGGCTGAAATTGTACGGTCGGTCGGGTGAGTCGAACCACACACCTTCTTTAGTTTGGCCTTCAAACGACCCACGTGCTCTTTGCTAGGTTACGACCAATCAGCAGCCTCGGAGAGCGGGCTTTGATATTCCATCAAAGCCCGCTGTCATTGACAACCTGTACGAGAAAACCATCAAAGCCCGCTGCCATTGGCAACTGTACGACAAAACCATCAAAGCCCTGATCATGCCCAATCTCAGTCTTTTCAAGGTGATCTGGCTATAAGAACAAGAAACCGATAGGGGTGGTGGTCGGGGATCCGGTGGCTCTCAACTTGTGGAGTTGGAAATCTAGCTCCAGCACCGCAGAACTCTCAGCAGTATGCAGCGTGAGCAAGGCGTGTGTGGTGGAAGTGAAAATACTTCCGTGACTCTTCAGCCACGTCTGGCTCTTGACACGGAGTCCTGAGAAATTTCTCACGAAACACGTTTTACATTACTTTCCCTTTGCTGTAATCTCTGTGTGAAACTTACGAACGGGACGAAAACGACATGCACTTTAGACTTCAGGCTGCTCTGAAATCCCAAACGAAAGGCCGACATTGTCCACACTCGAGATCACCCAAAGAATAAAGCGAGTTTGATTCAAAATCAAAAAAAATGTTGGGGATCGTCTGAAGCATATTCAAGCGAGGTACAGTCGGGCTTGATGACTGATCAAAGCCCTCGGGCCCAGCCCTTGGGCCTACGGCCCTCGGGCTGGACCCTTGGGCTTTGATCAGCCATCAAGCCCTCTGTACCTCGCTTGATTATCTACTTATAATAATTATTATTGAATATTGTGGGGAAAGAAAATGCACGTCGTGGCCAGCTTATTTTGCACTATTTCGTTGAGCTTGAAGAGGAGAGAACACCTTGCACAGCAACAGTAGAAATGATTATGTAGCCGTTCCAAGATGAGAGTACTGCACAGTAGAAGTCGCATGTGCCCCGCTGCATGTCATGTTCTAGGCTGCAGCGCCTGGCACCGGTACGCGGCGAGCAATGTCTCCAGTGAACTGTGATGGAGGATCAGTGATGCGAAACGGTCACCAGAGGCATAGGCCAGGGAGAGTAGAATGCACTTGCTGGTACAAAAAAGGTGCTCCAGCCTTGTCTAATACTAGCAGTGTCGAGACACCCGAGCTCTCCTTCCTAGCTTTCACTTTTCAGTTCAAACTGCCAGTTATTCCAATTTCCTTCATCTCACTTACCAAGAGAACTTCTTACAAGTAGAGCTTTTCCTGTTTCCCCTTTGCGTTGAACAATGGCACAACAGTCGCAAGCTATCCAGCAGCTGCTCGACGCCGAAAAGAAAGCCAGTGAGATTGTTGACGCGGCCAGGAAACGTGAGTACTTGGTGCCATGTTGTTGGGGGCGACTTTCTGCTTTTATCCTTCTGAGAATTTGAATCCAAGTGGCAATAATTCCACTGACCTTGCCCTGGCAATACCCTGAGGCATGTGTGTGTGTGTTTGTGCTCCTGTGCATCCACACACGCTCTGTGTGTATGTATGTGTGTGTGTGTGTGTATGTGTGTGTGTGGTGTGTGTGTGTGTGTGTGTGTGTGTGTGTACCGTGTGTGTACCGTGTGTGTACCGTGTGTGTGTGTGTGTGTGTGTGTGTCACTGTGTGTGTCACTATGTGTTCATGTTCGAGCATGTGCGCGTGTACCAGCAAAATGAAGCCAAAGTAGCAACAAAGGAGAAAAACGAGTTTTTTGTTGCATGTTGCTTGAAGATCACTTGGCATGAAACTGCAAGTTGAAAATAATAAATTGTTCTGACTTTTGTGTTAGAAATCTCTGCCCTCCCAATCCCCCCCTCTGTACTGAGCACTGTACGAGGCAGAGCAATGGAAGTTCGGATATTGAGCACTGTATTCGCAGTGGAAGTTGCCTACTGTGTAGACCGGTCTATGTACGTGTAGCGTATTGAGCAGGATTATGATATGGGATCACATGTTAGCTTTTACACTGGTGCAACTGGCTGCCATAGTATAGAGCCCTAGATACAATATCTGTGAATGGGGAAATTTTGAAACTTGTATTGGCTCATGTGGCCTTTATATTTGGAGGCGGTGCAACCGCGTCATCAGTCGGTTTGTTTTGTATTGAGTGGTATCTCAAGCACTGGGTTGACACTGCGTACATAGTTATCTGCAGTGAAACTTCTGTATTAGCGGATCTCCAAGGGCCACAAAAATCTGTACTTAATAGCCGAGGTACTGCACATGTATATCCAAGGCCAAGTTACTAGTGTAATGCAGGTCCTCGAAATAGTACTAGTCAGTCTTTATATCCCATAGTATGTCGTATCCATGGCACTTTATGCATAGTATGTCGTATCCATGGCACTTTATGCATAGTATGTCGTATCCATGGCACTTTATGCCTTGTATGTCGTATCCATGGCACTTTATGCATAGTATGTCGTATCCATGGCACTTTATGCCCAAGTTTCACTGTACAGTGGTGTTATTCGCATACCGTATTTTCTCTAATAAGAGCCCGGGGTTCTTAATTTTTCAGTAACAGCTCTACCCGCGCTACTATTAGAGACTGGGCTCTTATTTTTTTAATTGTCAACTCACTACTATCAAGCCAACTCCAGTCTATACAGGCATAAACTGACCATATTAAGACTGATTTTTCAACCCTTAACTCAAGAATATTGTCAAAACAGATGTTTCACAATGGCATTGGCGCCAGGAAGGAAGCAGTAGACCGAAAGCCTCCTCACAAATATGTCCTTGGCATGTTGTACTGCTGTTTTATATGAAGTCAATATACTTGTTGCATACTCCAATTGTGACCCGCGCTACTATTGTAGAGACTGTGCTCTTATTATTTCAAACCACCCTCACCCCGGGTCATTATTGGAGACTGGGCTATTATTGGAGACCTGGGCTTTTATTAGAGAAAATATGGTAACCAGTATATGCTGGGAGTGCATGTTCATGTACTGTACATTGAAAATGCCTGAGACATTGTACTGTTGTGCCTTGTACATGTACATGTGCTCCTGTCTATTGGGATGTACATGTGTTTTTTAAGCACACCTCTCCTGATTGTATGTCCGTTTTTTTCCCTCTAGGCAAAACACGCCGTCTCAAACAGGCACGTAGCGAGGCAGCAGAGGAGATCGAGCACTGCCGCAGAGACAAAGAGGTCGAGTTTAGCCGTGTCCAAGTTGAGGTACAACCACCATACAAGCAGAACATTTAACCAAGGAATGATTTTTATGATTTTTATCCGACTCCAGAGAAAGGACGTTCGTCCGGCCAATAATTAGTCCATGGATCATAAAATGGACGAAATTAAATTCTCAACGAAACTTTCTGCTTTTATCCTTCTGACAAATTGAATCCAAGTGGCAATAATTCGACTGACCTTGCCCTAGCTGCGTTCATAGTAAGCGGTTCTAGTGAACAAAGACTTTAAGTAAAAGGCTAAAATCCTGTGCTATGCTCCTGTGCTATGCTCAGTATTGTAAAAAGTAAAAGGACACGTGCATACGAGTTACTGTGCAGGCAGAAAATTTCGTCGGTCAATAATTCCGTCCTACTCCAAAGAAAGGGAGTTCGTCCGGTTGAAAATTTCGTCCATGGATCACAATTAAATTCATGACGAATATTTCTGCTTATACGAGTTCTGAGTAACTACCCACCACTGTAACTACTGTAAGGCCAGTAATGTTAACGAACATTTAATTCTAACGAGTTAACGAATTTGGAAGAATCCTTTAAAAAGGGGAAGTTAAGGCAAAAATCAAAATTTCACCAGTTGTAGTATTCGGGGTGCTGAGTCGAATGGTCGTGGTCCGAGGAAGCTGAGACGCTCCCTTCCTACTTTAATCCCAATCGAACTCGCGCACTTCCACCGAAACTGGGTGACTGCGCCCTACTAGATGGGGACTTGTATGCAAAATATCACTAAAAGCACCATTTCGTTCTTATAAAAGCATGGATGACCGCGATTGGCCCATATGTTGTAGTCTTTTGGACACTGAGTCGATTGGTTTTGGTCCGAAAAGGCTGCGATGCAGCATTCCTCCTTTATTCCCAATCGAACATGGTTGAACAAGCGGTCACGTGCTCCTGCGTACACCAGTCACCTGGTCACCGTGCCTGCAGGGTACAACTTACTAGCCTGTTTGACCTTTTTTGGGTGCAGTCCTGTCACTCGAGTTGAACCTTGGTGTGAAGGTTGTTGCCTGCTGGCGTGGTGACCAGGTGATTTGGGCACCCAGGAGCACGTGACCGCTTGTTCAACCATGTTCGATTGGGAATAAAGGAGGAACGCTGCCTCGCAGCCTTTTCGGACCAAAACCAGACGACTCGGCGTCCGAAAAAGTACAACATATGGGCCAATCGCGGTCATCTGTGCTTTTATAAGAACGAAATGGCGCTTTTAGTGACATTTTGCATACAAATCCCCATCTAGTAGGGCGCAGTCACCCAGTTTCGGTGGAAGTGCGCTAGTTCGATTGGGATTCAAGTAGGGAGGGAGCGTCTCAGCTTTCTCGGGCCAAGACCATTCAACTCAGCACCCCGAAGACTACAACTGGTGAAATTTTGATTTTTGCCTTAACTTCCCCTTTAAAGGGGAAGTATACCCTAAAATCAAATTTTCACCAGTTGTAGTCTTCTGGGTGCTGAGTCGAATGGTCTTGGTCCGAGGAAGCTGTGACGCTCCCTTCCTACTTGAATCCCAATCGAACTCGCGCACTTCCACCGAAACTGGGTGACTGCGCCCTACTAGATGGGGATTTGTATGCAAAATGTCACTAAAAGCGCCATTTCGTTCTTATAAAAGCACGGATGACCGCGATTGGCCCATATGTTGTAGTCTTTGGGACGCTGAGTCGACTGGTTTTGGTCCGAAAAGCCTGCGATGCAGCGTTCCTCCTTTATTCCCAATCGAACATGGTTGAACAAGCGGTCACGTGCTCCTGGGTGCCCAAATCACCTGGTCACCGCGCCAGCAGGCGACTACTTTCACACCAAGGTTCAACTCGAGTTCAACTCGAGTGACAGGACTGCACCCAAAAAAGGTCAAACAGGCTAGTAAGTTGTACCCTGCAGGCACGGTGACCAGCTGACTGGTGTACGCAGGAGCACGTGACCGCTTGTTCAACCATGTTCGATTGGGAATATAGGAGGAACGCTGCATCGCAGCCTTTTCGAACCAAAACCAGTCGACTCAGCGTCCAAAAGACTACAACATCTGGGCCAATCGTGGTCATCCGTGCTTTTATAAGAACGAAATGGCGCTTTTAGTGACATTTTGCATACAAATCCCCATCTAGTAGGGCGCAGTCACCCAGTTTCGGTGGAAGTGCGCGAGTTCGATTGGGATTCAAGTAGGAAGGGAGCGTCTCAGCTTCCTCGGACCAAGACCATTCGACTCAGCACCCCGAAGACTACAACTGGTGAAAATTTGATTTTAGGGTATTATTATTATTTATTATTGCAAATAACGCTGAGTAATTACACGAATGCATAAAAACCAGCATTTGCTTCCGGGAAGGATTCACAAACATAAGACCAGGGTATACTTCCCCCTTAACATTATTTTGAAGTCGTTATGTGCAAAACGATATGTACATGTACAGTCATTTGCTGGGTTTGAGGCAGAATTCGTTAGAATTTCACCTCGCTAACCCACGAAAATCTGGAAATCTTTAACTTTAATTGACGTTAAAATATCTGGTCGTACTGTAGACTGAGTGGATAATATGCAGTCAAACAGTGCAATAGCTATCTGTATGCAGTCAAACAGTGCAATAGCTATCTGTAGACAGTCAAACAGTGCAATAGCTATCTGTATGCAGTCAAACAGTGCAATAGCTATCTGTATGCAGTGAAACAGTGCAATAGCTATCTGTATGCAGTCAAACAGTGCAATAGCTATCTGTATGCAGTGAAACGGTGCAATAGCTATCTGTAGACAGTCAAACAGTGCAATAGCTATCTGTATGCAGTCAAACAGTGCAATAGCTATCTGTAGACAGTCAAACAGTGCAATAGCTATCTGTATGCAGTCAAACAGTGCAGTAGCTATCTGTATGCAGTCAAACAGTGCAATAGCTATCTGTATGCAGTCAAACAGTGCAATAGCTATCTGTATGCAGTCAAACAGTGCAGTAGCTATCTGTATGCAGTCAAACAGTGCAATAGCTATCTGTAGACAGTCAAACAGTGCAATAGCTATCTGTATGCAGTCAAACAGTGCAGTAGCTATCTGTATGCAGTCAAACAGTGCAATAGCTATCTGTATGCAGTCAAACAGTGCAATAGCTATCTGTATGCAGTCAAACAGTGCAATAGCTATCTGTATGCAGTCAAACAGTGCAATAGCTATCTGTATGCAGTCAAACAGTGCAATAGCTATCTGTAGGCAGTCAAACAGTGCAATAGCTATCTGTATGCAGTGAAACAGTGCAATAGCTATCTGTATGCAGTCAAACAGTGCAATAGCTATCTGTAGACAGTCAAACAGTGCAATAGCTATCTGTATGCAGTCAAACAGTGCAGTAGCTATCTGTATGCAGTCAAACAGTGCAATAGCTATCTGTATGCAGTCAAACAGTGCAATAGCTATCTGTATGCAGTCAAACAGTGCAATAGCTATCTGTATGCAGTCAAACAGTGCAATAGCTATCTGTATGCAGTCAAACAGTGCAATAGCTATCTGTATGCAGTCAAACAGTGCAATAGCTATCTGTATGCAGTCAAACAGTGCAATAGCTATCTGTATGCAGTCAAACAGTGCAATAGCTATCTGTATGCAGTCAAACAGTGCAATAGCTATCTGTATGCAGTCAAACAGTGCAATAGCTATCTGTATACAGTCAAACAGTGCAACAGCTATCTCTATGCAGTCAAACAGTGCAACAGCTATCTGTATGCAGTCAAACAGTGCAACAGCTATCTGTATGCAGTCAAACAGTGCAACAGCTATCTGTATGCAGTCAAACAGTGCAATAGCTATCTGTATGCAGTCAAACAGTGCAATAGCTATCTGTATGCAGTCAAACAGTGCAATAGCTATCTGTATGCAGTCAAACAGTGCAATAGCTATCTGTAGGCAGTCAAACAGTGCAACAGCTATCTGTATGCAGTCAAACAGTGCAATAGCTATCTGTATGCAGTCAAACAGTGCAATAGCTATCTGTATGCAGTGAAACAGTGCAATAGCTATCTGTATGCAGTCAAACAGTGCAATAGCTATCTGTATGCAGTCAAACAGTGCAATAGCTATCTGTATGCAGTGAAACAGTGCAATAGCTATCTGTATGCAGTCAAACAGTGCAGTAGCTATCTGTATGCAGTCAAACAGTGCAATAGCTATCTGTATGCAGTCAAACAGTGCAATAGCTATCTGTATGCAGTCAAACAGTGCAATAGCTATCTGTATGCAGTCAAACAGTGCAGTAGCTATCTGTATGCAGTCAAACAGTGCAATAGCTATCTGTATGCAGTCAAACAGTGCAATAGCTATCTGTATGCAGTGAAACAGTGCAGTAGCTATCTGTATGCAGTCAAACAGTGCAACAGCTATCTGTATGCAGTGAAACAGTGCAATAGCTATCTGTAGGCAGTCAAACAGTGCAACAGCTATCTGTATGCAGTCAAACAGTGCAACAGCTATCTGTAGACAGTCAAACAGTGCAACAGCTATCTGTATGCAGTCAAACAGTGCAATAGCTATCTGTATGCAGTCAAACAGTGCAACAGCTATCTGTATGCAGTCAAACAGTGCAATAGCTATCTGTATGCAGTCAAACAGTGCAATAGCTATCTGTATGCAGTGAAACAGTGCAACAGCTATCTGTATGCAGTGAAACAGTGCAATAGCTATCTGTATGCAGTGAAACAGTGCAATAGCTATCTGTATGCAGTCAAACAGTGCAATAGCTATCTGTATGCAGTGAAACAGTGCAATAGCTATCTGTATGCAGTCAAACAGTGCAATAGCTATCTGTATGCAGTCAAACAGTGCAATAGCTATCTGTATGCAGTCAAACAGTGCAATAGCTATCTGTATGCAGTCAAACAGTGCAATAGCTATCTGTATGCAGTCAAACAGTGCAATAGCTATCTGTATGCAGTCAAACAGTGCAATAGCTATCTGTATGCAGTCAAACAGTGCAATAGCTATCTGTATGCAGTCAAACAGTGCAATAGCTATCTGTAGACAGTCAAACAGTGCAATAGCTATCTGTATGCAGTCAAACAGTGCAATAGCTATCTGTAGACAGTCAAACAGTGCAATAGCTATCTGTATGCAGTCAAACAGTGCAATAGCTATCTGTATGCAGTCAAACAGTGCAATAGCTATCTGTATGCAGTGAAACAGTGCAATAGCTATCTGTAGACAGTCAAACAGTGCAATAGCTATCTGTATGCAGTCAAACAGTGCAATAGCTATCTGTAGACAGTCAAACAGTGCAATAGCTATCTGTAGACAGTCAAACAGTGCAGTAGCTATCTGTATGCAGTCAAACAGTGCAATAGCTATCTGTAGGCAGTCAAACAGTGCAATAGCTATCTGTATGCAGTCAAACAGTGCAATAGCTATCTGTATGCAGTCAAACAGTGCAATAGCTATCTGTATGCAGTCAAACAGTGCAATAGCTATCTGTATGCAGTCAAACAGTGCAATAGCTATCTGTATGCAGTCAAACAGTGCAATAGCTATCTGTATGCAGTCAAACAGTGCAATAGCTATCTGTATGCAGTCAAACAGTGCAATAGCTATCTGTATGCAGTCAAACAGTGCAATAGCTATCTGTATGCAGTCAAACAGTGCAATAGCTATCTGTATGCAGTCAAACAGTGCAATAGCTATCTGTATGCAGTCAAACAGTGCAATAGCTATCTGTATGCAGTCAAACAGTGCAATAGCTATCTGTATGCAGTCAAACAGTGCAATAGCTATCTGTATGCAGTCAAACAGTGCAATAGCTATCTGTATGCAGTCAAACAGTGCAATAGCTATCTGTATGCAGTCAAACAGTGCAATAGCTATCTGTAGGCAGTCAAACAGTGCAATAGCTATCTGTAGGCAGTCAAACAGTGCAATAGCTATCTGTAGGCAGTCAAACAGTGCAATAGCTATCTGTAGGCAGTCAAACAGTGCAATAGCTATCTGTATGCAGTGAAACAGTGCAATAGCTATCTGTATGCAGTCAAACAGTGCAATAGCTATCTGTATGCAGTCAAACAGTGCAATAGCTATCTGTATGCAGTGAAACAGTGCAATAGCTATCTGTATGCAGTCAAACAGTGCAATAGCTATCTGTATGCAGTCAAACAGTGCAATAGCTATCTGTATGCAGTCAAACAGTGCAATAGCTATCTGTATGCAGTCAAACAGTGCAATAGCTATCTGTATGCAGTCAAACAGTGCAATAGCTATCTGTATGCAGTCAAAC